GGCCTCATGATTCATCCCCAAGCTGTGGCTCAAGCACCTCCGCACCTACCAACTTTCCTTTTCACGGGCCAAAACTGACTTTTACTCCAAAGTCATCCTGGAGGCCAAAAACAATCCAAAGAAGCTTTTTTCCTGCCAATTCCCCTTCCTCACACTCCTTTGCCCCCATTTCTCCCTCTCAACCACAATCACCTGAAAATTACTGTTATCACAGTCCTCCTGAAAAAACCTACCCTTGATCCCTCTACTCTCTCACACTACATCCTATCTTCAACCTACCCTTTCCTTGCTCCATCCTTGGCCCCCTTCATTTCCTAATCTGTATGCTCCCTCTTGGCAATGTCATCCACAGACACAGGGTAAACTTCCACATGTATGCTGATGACACACAAATCTACTTTGCCTCCTCCAGTAACAACACCAGGTTCGCCAATATTCCATCAGCTTGTCTGGCAGACATCAGGGCCTGAATGAGTGCAAACATCCTGCAGCCGAATGTGGACAAGACAGAAACCATACTCCTTGGCTCCTGTCAGTGTCTTCACTCCTGCAGATCTAAAATCCTCAAGCTCCCTGGGCTCTCCCTTAGACTTACCGAACCAATGCGCAACTTAGGCATCCCCAGATTTGACCCCCAGCTGTCCTTCCTCCCCCAATCTGGTCCCTGACCAGGACCACCTTCCTCCACCTCTGTCACATTGCCCGCCTCCGACTGTACCTTATCCCAAATGCATCCGAAACCCTCATGTATGTGTTTGTCACCTCCCGCCTGGATTACTCAAAAATACTCCTCGTCGGTCTCCCCAGCTCCACTATTCAAAGGATCCAGCTCATTCAGAACTCTGCCGCCCGCATACTGACCCCGACCAAACTCCGTACCCCCATCTCACCAGTTCTGGCCCAGGCTCCACTGGCTCCCCAGCACTGAACGGATCGAGTTCAAGATCCTCTCACACTCCACCTTCCTACTTCTCCGACCACCTCACTCCCCACTCCACCACCCGCCACCTCCATTCAACTGGCACCGGCTTCCTGCTTGTCCCTCACACCCTCCGCTCCACCATTGGAGGTCGTGCTTTCAGCTACTACGTCCCAAAACTTTGGAAAACTCTCCCTCAAACCCTCTGCCTTGCCCCCTCTCCCCCTTTTCAAGTCCTGCCTTAAAACCTTCTTTTTCAACCGTGCTTATGGTCACCTCCCTCTCCCGGCTCGGAGTCAGACTCCGCCATTGTTAAGCACTCTGAGAAGCTGCCCTGGGTAGAGGGCGTTATATAAGTGCAAATTGTTGTGTTGTTGGATTGAGTGACCAAATTATTAGTATTATTTTTTGAAGGGTTTATTATCCCCACAAGCGATCCGCCAATCGACTAACAACTGGGTTCCTACTTACTGCTAGGTAAACAGAGGTGTGTGGAGATGACTTGAGTGCGAACACAATGTGGCAAGCTCTTCACCAAGTTCTAGAGTTTAAGTTTACTGGGTGTAGTTTGAACAGCATTGCCATGCTTTGCTGCATCATTCTCAGTTAGAGATGCCTGAAATTGCTCCTGCCTCCAACAGCAATTTGCATTCAGAAAGTGCCCTTCATGCAGTATAGTGTCCCAGAGCACTTCCAGACAGAGCAGGAGGAAACATCTTGAGTTGTCACTCATCATGCATCTTCCGAGTTGTTCACTATAGCCAATAATTCTAGTCAGGTGGAGGTGGTAAATAGAAGGTTGATTTGAGTTACAGCCACTGAAATCTAACAACTTTAAAGTGTGCACATGTGTTTAGTGTACCATGGAGTGGCTGACCCCAGATTGTGATAACAATCCTTGCATTTGAAATAGCGCCTAATCACGTCTTTGAGACATCTCAAAGCGCTTCACAGAATACACTGTAAAGTGAATTGATTGTATTATTTTGTGGGCTGATGGCTAGATGGCTGGATTAAATGACATATTCATTCAACTCTTCTGAAAAAGCCTTTCATTCACAACTCAGCAATACAGTCAGTGGACTGTCTACCTTTGAAAGCCACGGGATCCTGCTTGGAAGGTCAATTTTACATCAATAAATTAGATGCTCAAAGCAAGCTACTCTGTGGTTGATTAATCAGTGGTAGCCTCATCATCCGTGAAGCTAAAAATGTTTTGCTGCAGATCATCAGTTTCTGGACTTCTTGAATGTGCCTTTTCAGTAGTTCAGGGGCTCTGAAAATGACTAAGGCTAAGAGTTTATCTTGTCTCCGGTGGGGTGGTGAGGGGAGGGGATGTATTTTGATGGCCTCACATCATGGGAACTTGATGAGGATGATCTGCCTACAATGTCAGAAGAATCTGGCTAATTTGACACTATTCTTACAAGATTATCACCAGAGCAGAACCGTAAGAATTGCAGATGCTTAAGGCAGAATTACAAGAGCTACAACTTAATGTTCAACATCATGTCAAGCTGTGCTTTGAAGAACGTACTCCTTGCTCCTCGACCAATGTATTGACACACAAAAGACCCAAACTGTTCCAGCGTACCAACGTAGAGTTTCCCAGCTTGGAAGCACAAACTAGACGTTTGCCTTCTGAAAAAAACTAGTAATCCTTGCATTTCACAAAGCTCCTCATCATGTCATTGAGCCGATTTGAAGCACTTCACAGAATATACTGTAAAGTGAATTGACTGCGTATTTTGTGGATGAGCGTGACAGCCAATTGCACACAGCAGTGTCCCACAAATAGTCATGGATTTTTTTTTGAGGGATTATTACCCACGAAAAGCAATCTGCCAATCGACTAACAACTGGGTTCCTAGTTAGTAATTACCTACAATTTTTTGAAAAAGGTTTGTGCTGATTCATAGCATGGCCTGAGCAAAATGCACCATGTAGAGTAGGGATTGCCTTTCAATCTGTATACTGGAATCATTATATTCTACGAATGCAGCAAAACATGAAGTACTCATTTAATCCAGCACTGCAACATGTTGCATATTAGTAATGATTGGGTTTGTTCCAAAATAATCTTAATGATAATAGTAATAATAATCCTTGCATTTGATATAGTGCTTTATCATTTGTTGGGATGTCTCAAAACGCTTCACAGAATATAGTGTGAAGTGTAGTGACTGTATATTTTGTGGGCAAAACGCAGGAGTGACCCACGAACATCCGTGGATTGAGTGACCACATTTTTTTTAAGTGATTAAAATTGGAGCTACCAATTCTTCTCCCCCACCCCTTCCTTACATGAAAATATATTTTTTGCTTTTCTGCAACACTTCAGTCTAGTGAATGGTAATCTGAGTATCACATTAAGGATATCCAGAATAATTACATTATTTCTGCAGTTCGATGTGTCACCTAAATCCTGATTATGTTCAGTTTTTTAATGGGAAACGGTTCTTTTTGTTAATTAATCCTTGCATTTGATATAGCGCTTTTCACGTCGGGAGGACGTCCCAAAGCGCTTCACAGAACACACTGTAAAGTGAATTGACTGTATATTTGTGGGCGAACGCGGCAGCCAATTGCGCACAGCAATGTCCCACAGTCGTAGATTGAAAATGACCAATTTTAATTATTGTTTTTTTTTTGGAGGGATTATTATTAGGCTCTGTGTGGAGTAAGGAAACTTGGCCAAGGTTTCGGCCTCTGCCTGGAATTGAACTCAGGTCTCTCACTTGCAAAGCGAGTGCTCTAACCACTGAGCTACAGGACTCCACACTGTATCACTCCACATTGTTGCACTGTATAAGAACATAAGAAATGCTAGATGAAAAAAAGAGCAAGGTCCATCTAGTCCGCCTTCCACCTTCCTGGCGGTCACATGGACATCTGCCCAAAAATTACTTATGTACTATAACCCAGAATGATATTTCCTAAAACTAAATAACCTGTTTTTAAAGGAGAAGGTGGTACAATAATAGGGTGCATCCAGAGGCAGGTGAAACAAAGACAACATTCCTATGCCAAGAGCGTTGCGAAGAAGAGGGACTTGGAAAATTGGAGTGGGTTCCATCAGGAATCTCTGTGTCCCAACATGATGCCTTGGCTCTATAACAGCCCTGCCTGTATTCACAAGGCACCAGTACTGAACCTGAGTTTTAATCACCCCAGAAGCTACCACCACTCTAAGTCCTGCTTTTATCCCAGTTATGGATCTAAATACCCACAGCTGGATCGAAATACTGGTGGTCCTGTAGCGTATTGGTTAGAGCACTCACCTTGCAAATGAAAGGGCCTGGGTTCGATTCCCGGGCAGGGCAAAACATTAGGCAAGTTTCCTTACTCCACACGCCTCTGCTTAACTAGCAGTAAGTAGGAACCTGGTTGTTAGTTGAGTGGAGGATCACTTTTCTGGGGGTTATAATCCCTTCAAAAACACATAAATAAAATAATAATTTGCTCAGTCAATCCACGACTGCTTGTGGGGACGCTGCTGTGCGCAATTGGCTGCCGCGTTTCGCCCACAAAATATACCATCATTTCACTTTGCAGCGCATCCAAGTGAAGCGCTTTGAGACGTCTCGAAGACGTGAGAAGGCGCTGCCTCAAAAGCAAGGAACATTATCATTAATATTATTATTATTATTATTATTATGAATCTCCACAGTCGGAGCAAAACACCCACACCTTATTCTCTGATTGCTAAATCCTTTGCACAAATTCCACTCCCTTTGCTGTGTTCTCTTAACACCCCCCTCACTCCCCCACCCCCACTCCCCCTCACTCACTCCCACACCTGACTGCATAACCAAAGCCCTGCTCTGGTGTCAGACAGTCCCAGATGATTCCAAGCAGAAGTAAGGAGAGATGTGCCTCCATCCATCCATCCCTCCCTCCCTCCCTCCCTCTCTCTCTCTCTCTCAGTCACTGTGTGACTGTCATGTGCACAGACTGACTGACTGAGCGCTGCGTGCATTCCGCGCAGGCTCCATCCATCTGGGCAGAGAGAGAGAGAGAGAGAGAAAAAAAATAAGAGGGAAAGAGAGAGATAAAAGAGAGAGATAGAAAGAGAGAGAGAGAGAGAGAGGGAGAAGGTGGAGGAGGAAGAAGAAAAAGGATCGAGATCCCTCTGCGGGCGTGGTGTCCAGCAGACAGGCAGGTGGGTAAAACCTGGGTACCAGATGCCATCTGTGTGCCCATTGCTCTCTTGAGTGCAAGACTTTCTGCGCTGTGTGTGTGTGATGCTGTGAAGATAAGGTGACTGCACTTCATCAGGGAGGGTGATCAGGGCACTGCAGGGTCATTTGCAAGAGAAAGTGGCATTTAAAATGTGCAACACACATGTTAGTATCAGTGCTATGTCGATAATATAATAGAACGTGCAACACAACTATTATTATTATTATTATTATTATTATTAAGAGTACTCAGGGATGATGATTCCACCTCTGCCCTCTCTTTCCCATGTTCTGGTGTGACATAATGTGGGGTCTAGGGTACATCTCTCAGGCAGTTTGCCACTTTTTAAGTGGCTGTTGTTATTTTCCTGGTCCACCAGTGAGTGCATTTGGTTTCATCTGTTTTTAAGTTGCTGGAGAGTGAGTTGGGGGGTGGGGAGGGGGAATGTTTTTTTTTTGGAGAGTTTGGACAGTTTGCATGAAGCTGTGTGAGTGCCCATTGCAATAGAAAATTGATATTTCGAGCAAAATTGCTGTTTATAGTGAGAAATCCCTCCGCGTCGTGGTTATTTGTAGCCACAGGAGTTATTTTGCCATTGTTGGATTATCGAACAACATTTTAACATAACGAGATATAAAAATATTTTTTTCTTCCAGGAAAGAAGGGCAATAAAACTGCATCAATTCCCTGGGAACTTTTAATTCGGTTTAATGAAGACAAGGAATTTGTTTTGGCTTCTTAAGAGCTAATAAACTGTTACTTTTATAGATGTCTGACTCCAGGACAGATGTGGGGGAGCCAACACCCCCAGGAAACCTTGGCTGTATCAAGGAGACTAGCTCTCCGTCAAGTAACAGTAAGTTTTCGTTTTGCTGCTAAATTTTGCGTTAAAGTTCATAATCTCGACTCCATAAAAAATTAAAATATTAAAGTTCATAGTCTGCTCCACAGTATTTAAGTATTGTAGTTGCAAAGCAGGAAACAAACGAACCCTGTTGATAGCTGGAGCAGGTTTACTACCTATAATTACACTTTGGTTAACACACTGATCACACACGCCGCAAAAGGCACTGGTTTACAAAATACAGTCACTACGCTTCACAGAAAGATCCTGCAAAACACTATCCTTGATTTTGATACAGCGCCTTGTCACGTCTTCGAGACGTCTCAAAGCTCTTCACAGAATAGACTGTAAAGTGAATTGACTGTATATTTTATGGGTGAAACGCAGCAGCTGATTGCGCACAGCAGCGTCCCACAAACAGTCGTGGATTGAGAGACCGAGTTATTTTTTTCAAAGAGAGACTTTGAGAGGTCCTCTCGACGTGAAAGACGCTATATCAAATGCAAGAATTATTAAATATATTATATATTATTTATTTAGTTACTAACTAGTTAACTTGAAAGGACTGGACTGGCTGAAAGACATACGCTGGAGGAGGAAAAAAAAGTAGAATGGGGCGCAGCTTAAAACCAAAATATTGATCAGTGAATCCAAATATATTCCTTTAATGCAAACTATGGGAGAGTGCATTGAATTTGGACCATCCTAATCTGAAATTGATACATTGTTATACAGCTGTAGTACTGCATAAAGGAACATTAATCTGATTAGGGAACACACACGCAAAGTGACGAAGGGAATTAGCTGCTCCTTTCACACACAAACACCTCGAAACCCCATCACAAACCATGAGCACGTGTCTAGTTGCAACGAGGATACTTCTGAACAGACTGAATAGAGGAATCTTAATTTAATGAGAGGTCGGAAAACTTCAGATCGTATTCATTGTAAAACCTCTGGTTAATTTCATCTCCCCGAATGCGCAGATTATTGTATTAGGCAATAATAATAATAATTATCCTTGCAATTGCAATGTCGTTGAGACGTCTCAATGCGCTTCACAGAATATATTGTAAAGTGGATTGACTGCGTATCTGTGGCGAAATAATATCAGTGTGTAACAAAAGAAACTTAACTAGAATTTCTTGAGCGCGGGAAAGAAAGTGCTGAACCTTTACTATATTGCAAATTATCCTGGGAATCAGCATGTCCCGAAGTAATGAAGGTAAATAGTAGTGCATTGTTTTGAATTTGACCCTGAGGTGCACTGCTTTTCGTGGTGTGATTTCAATCTATTTCAAGTTTATTGAAATCGTTTACATCCATTTTCCAAAGAGTTGATCTGAAAAACAGCCAGTGTTCGTTCTTTCAAACCAGGCTTGTAAAGAAATGTACAAATCAAATAGAATTCCAAGCAGTGGCGTCAGCAATAGATTGATTAAATGATTTTAGAACAGGAGGAGACAGAAAGCACACACTATACACCGACCGGAAAGATGTTCATCCAGGGTAATGGTGGCTATCTTGGCAGTTAGACATATTCCTGTGCGTTAATGCTAAATTCCAGTTAAATAATCATTTTAAAAATCCTTGCATTTGATTTAGCACTTTTCACGTCTTCGAGACGTCTCAAAGCGCTTCACAGGATAGACTGTAAAGTGAATTGACTGCATATTTTGTGGGCAAAACATGGCAGCCAATTGCGCACAGCAGTGTCCCACAAACAGTTGTGGATTGAGTGACCAAATTATTGTTATTATTATTTTTCTTGAGGAATTATTATCAGGCGTGTGGACTAAGGAAACTTGCCCAAGGTTTCGCCTTGCCGGAAATCCAACCCAGGTCTCTTGCTTGTGAGACGAATGCTCTAACCACTGAGCTACAGGACTCGTGAAATGTAATGAAACGCAGTAAAACTGTGATAACACTTGTGCTTGTGGTTACCGGCCAGATTCCTGCACGTTAAAGAATGTCCAGGCTGGTCAGATCACCAGCAAAGTTACTTCCTGCACTGTGCACAGGAAGCACTGCTGACATCACTTTGCGACTGAAGTACCACTGGCATCACTTCCTGCACATAGTGTCCATGTATGGTGTGCAGGAAGTGGCATCAACAGCGACCTGATGACCTGGAAGTCGGGCATTTTCCGTGTTTCACAGTGACGCGGGGTTTGAGACATTGGAAGATGCTATAATAGTTGTACTGTAATTTGCATTATCTGTGTAGGAATAGCATTGTAAAGTATCAGTTTTTGGAAATAACATATACAGTACAAAGGATGGGGACGGAGAGGCGGAAGGTGGTGTTGGCCGGGCGGGTGTTGTGGAGCAGGCAGCAGCCTGCGAAGTGGAGGGAGAGGACAGGTTAATATGGGGTTAGCAGGTCACAGAGGTAGGGAGGGGCAGGACCGTGGAGAGCCTTGAAGATGAGGACGAGAGTTTTGAACTCTTGGAGCCAGTGGAGTCGGGCGCGGGCGCGGGTGGGGGTGATGGGGTCACGGAGCCTGGCGCGAGAGAGGTCACGAGATGCAGAGTCGCTGATGATCTGCGGCTTGTGGAGGGAAGAGTTGGGAAGGCCGACAAGCAGGGAGTTTGTCGTCGTCAAGCCTAGAAGTGATGAATGTGCGGATGATTCTGTATATTGTGATGAATTTGCTGATGGATTAATGGAAAAGTCTGTATGAGTTGACTAGTAATGAAATGGAAGCACAAAGTTTTGGAGTAATATGAATGATAAAAGTCGGATGGAGGCTTTGCTTGGGTTGTAATGTACAATAGATGTCGTACTGTTCACATGCTTCCCCTGTAAACATTTTAATCTTGAAACAGTTAAACATGCTCAGAAAGTGTTTGACATTAAAATCTTTGGGTTTTAAGTAAGAATCTCATTTTGAATCATAATTTATACTGCAATCTCCCAGTGTTTACATGGAAATTAAATCATCTGGTTTACTAATCTACATTTGGAAGTCATTTAGATCTTATTAAAGTCCAGCTGAATTATAATGAGCACCTTATGTCTGTCCATTGACGTTTAATATCCATCGGATGGTAAAAATGCTCTTCCGTTCAAACGTTACAGATTAGCAAATTAGCAGCAACTTTCAACTTTATACTGTGTTTACAACAAGCAAGTTCTTACTGACTAACTCAACACTAGCATTGATCAAGGCTTGGAACAGATTGGCTGACTGTCCTCTTTTTCTTCTTAAAAATAGTTCATGTGAAACATAGGGAACGATAATAGATTTTGGAGTGTAGTGTCCTGTAGCTTAGCGGTTAGAGCACTCGCCTCGCAAGCGAGAGGACCTGGGTTCGATTCCCGGCAAGGTGAAACTTTGGGTAAGTTTCCTTACTCCACACGCCTCTGTTTCCCTTGCAGTAAGTAGGAACCCGATTGTTAATTGATTGGCCGATCGATTTGCCGGGGGTAACAATCCCATCACATAAAATAATAATAATTTGTTCATTCGTTCCACGACTGTTTGTGAGACACTGCTGTACGCATTTCGATCACAAATATACGGTCAATTCACTTTACAATATATTCTATGAAGCAGCTTCGGACGTCTCGAAGATGTGATAAGGCACTATATCAAATGCAAAGATTATTATTATAGATTTTAAATGGGAAAAACACAGACAAATTATTAAAATATGTAGAATGAAATGAAAAATGTTGAAATAACTAAGTTTATAATATTGTATGCTAAGCAGGAATCCATGTGACCTTTCTGCTTCAGATACTTTCTCGTAAAGCTTTGCTAAACATGAACATTGCTGTTTAAAAAAATATATAAATCTCCCAGGAAATATTTAATGTTAACTTGGGTAAACTTAGCACCTTTAAAATCGTTACTTTTTTTTGCTTTGAGATTTACATACTAAAATTTATAACGATTTTGCCAGAATATACTGACACAACAGGAAAATAAGAGCATTGATTGAAAATAAATCTCTTATTTACTTGTTTGCAAGGTACATTAGCATGTAATTTAATTTTTTTACTGAAACATTGGATAGAAATTTCACCTGAATCTGGATTGATTCTCTGACCACAGCCTTGCAGAGTGTTTGTCAGTTTCTTAAATAGTCATTAATTTTGAAGACAGTTTTCTGTAAGTTTTAAGAATGCCAGAAATTGGACTTCAAAGTTAAAACGGAGTTGAATAATTTGCCAAATATGCCACACTTTGAAATGCTATGTAATACAGTAAACCAAGACCCAGGTGGAGTTTGACCCCACATGTTTTTTATTTACAAGTATAATACTATATAGATCGAGACATTTCAGTTTGAGAATGGTATTACTTGCGATTACAATTATATAACAGCAGAATACATTACTTTTGATATGAAAGAGCACAATGAACCATTCATTACTTTGATAGCACTAAAACCCAATAAGAAATTGCTGGTATAGAAATGAAAGCTTTGGCGGATTATTGTACAGCAGATTAGAAGCAAATGGTACAATATTTCTGCTTAAAAGGATTTCAGGCTACAGATAAATGATGTGCTTATGTTTTGATCACATGAACCATTATTATATATTGACTCGATAATATAATATAGAGAGATTTCACTCGTACTTTTCTGCATGCTAGTTTTTTTTTAAATTCACAGTGCATCATTCATTCTCTGTAGTAATATTGATAACATTGGTTTTTATTAAACCCAAGTTTGATTTAAGAAATTAAGCCTTCTTCGTAATAGAAAAAAAAAGGATAGTCATTGCAAAATTCTACATGCAGAATTAATTGTCCTTTGGTAGTTTGTAAATAACTATGTGTATTTCACTCTGGCAACTAAAAATCAACCCCAACAAATTCCTGTCAAATAATTATCAGATTTAGCTGAATTTCACCATCTAGAAAATCTCATTGCAAAATCGTTATAACATCTGTAAAGTTATTTAAAGTTGCATCATGTTTGGGATGAATAAAGCCTTTATTGTTTCCAATATAAGAAATGGGACAACCTTTATTCGGATAAATGTTTAATCTTGATCA